TCGTTTCCTTTGCAAATGTAACGAATATCTGGGGCGGGAAATATTTTTAGAGAATGAAGTGTTGCGTCTCCTCATAAAATCTATGTTGGACCGGCTCTTCTAATGTTGTTTTCTTGGCCTTCATAAGTAGATTACCGTTTCCCAGTGTCAGTTAAAACGCAAAGTATACACAAATCGCACCGTATTGCTAAATTTCAAATTAATTGGAGGTGGGGAAATCCAGTCTGTTTGATAATTGAACCCTGTGTGCTTAATTTATGGAGAGGATGACGAGCGATTGATTTTCAAGTTTCTGAACGGTCTCTTTTTGTGTTCTTTACGAATCGAGCTCAATCTTTTTACGTGGTAACCGTTTTTCCCTCTTCGGTTCATCAATTTTTTTTCACCCATTTCACTTCTATTTTACGGAAGGTTTCACGTCTTTCTTACAATAGCTATTTGCATTTATCTTTGTTTTGCAAGGGAAGTCTTATTTCGGTCTCTTGCTTTTTCTTTCATCAGTCATAAGACTAGAATATCAAACATAACAAGCTTCTTGTGTAAAAGATTAGTAGTAAAAAAAATAATTTCGAAACAATCTCTCCCGCTTTACAAAACTGAAATGTTTTGCACTTTACATTCAAAGCCAGAGGATTTAACCTCCAAATAATCTTAGATTTTGGCAAAGATTTTTTGCTGTTTCCTTGGTCTTCATATGTAGCTTAACGTTTTTTCAGTGTCAGTTAAAACGCAGAGTATACACAAATCGCACAGTATTGCTAAATTTCAAATGAATTCGAGGCGGGGAAATCTAGTCTGTTTGATAATTCAACCCTGTGTGCCTAATTTGTGGAGAGGATGGTGAGCGATTGATTTTCAGGTTCCTGAACGGCCTTTGCAAGTCTCCTGTGCAAATATAACAAATATCTCAGTGAATATTTTTAGAGAATAAAGTGTTGCGTCAATTTGACGTGTCAAGAAAAGCGGATCAGCTTAGATTACAGCAGGCTTTATTAAACGATTAAAAATGACCGTATATGGCTACTTTGGAACAATGGTGGAACCAACTTCAAAATACACGAGGGATTTTTCAAAATTTCCGATTATCATACGTGCGTCAGATTTAAACCATCGGCAAAACTGACGATAAGACAAATCCTCCCCGTGGGGGTGATTCTGGTAGATTTTTTAGGATGCAAATATTCATGGTGGGGTGGATGGTGGGGCGACTGTAGCTTTCGTATCTGAAGTAAAGAGATGTCACTGTTTTTACCTTTATATTGCTTAAAACTGGCGGAAGAAATATTCAATTAGAGGCTCACTGTGCGATGCAAAGGTAACGAGAGCATGTGTAACCTGGTATTAACGTCCGAAGCCTACCGCGCTGTTGAATCATGTAGAAGACTATCGTCATTTGCTCGATTGTTTAATGTGCGTGTATTTAAATTTCGCGCTGCGTGAATAAGATGTTGTTCCTGATGTGCACAAAAAGGTTCATATTCTCCTTCCTCTAGCGCGTGACACCTCCAGCTGATAAGTTTCTTTATTCTCCAAAACAGTTGGCTGAAGAATATATTGATACTGTAGGGAGAAACTGCACGTTAAACAATTCTTTGGTGTCATAGTCTGGGAGTGAAAGGGTAAAAGCAGATACGCGATGAATGAACCGGAAAATCAGATTCTTAAATCTGAAATCTTTTTAAAAAAAGAACATGAGGATGTCATGTTTTTTTTTATTTAAATTACGGGGAACTTAGAAAGCGACGTAGTTCTGTTTTAGGTTTTCTAAACGATTCTTAGTTTCACCGATGAAGCTGTTACCTTTTTTCGATACTTGTCAGATTGTTATTCATCTCTGTCTTGCAAGGAAAGCGTTATTTCAGTTTTTTAACTCTCGGCTTCCTCAGTCATTCGATCAGAATATGAAACAAGATACAACTCTTTGTTCAAGAGTAAGCAGTAAAAATAAAGAAAATATTAGCTTACAGTCCCATCTCTCTCTCTCTCTCTCTCTCTCTCTCTCTCTCTCTCTCTCTCTCTCTCTATTTAAAAAATGTTTTCGGCGCCCGCTCAAATCAGGCGCAACAGAAATTGAATTCAAGGACAGCGATTTTTGATGTGGAAAGAAAAGCGCTTTAATGTTTTTTCAACGACGCTATGGGAGAAAAAGAAAGTCATATTGATATCTCTCACACCAAGGGATTATCAACTACAGTTTATAGTTTCTTGTCTTAGACCGATCAAACTTAGCACTTTGTTCTCACACGAGCTGCTTGCATTTGTCTCTGTTTCTCGTCAATTTTGGTCTCATCACCCAAACAAAGCGTGTTTATTTTTGAAAGGGTTACCAGCAAAAAAATTAATTTAGTAGTAGTTGTTCTTTTCCCACTTCGAAAAAAATATATTTCTGGTTCAGTAAATGTAGCAAATTCAGTGATAAGAAAGAGTTTTAATTCCAAACAATCCAATAGTATTTGTGGAGAGCTTACAAATTGGAATAAATTTTTGATTTGGACTGCAAAATATTAAAGGTCTGCATCATTTTTAACTTTTAAATTTATGATACCATCAGCAACTCTTCCTTCTAGCTCCCTCACATTACCTCGCTTGTCAGTAGGGAGACTTGAATGTGGCATAAAGAAAAAACCCTTAGCTGATAAGTATTCTCGTGGCTTCTTCACTGAATATTATGTTGATATTGGAAAGAGAAGCAACATGTTCCTCACTTCTGTAACTTGATGGCTTTAAAAACCGAGCAAAACAAAATTAAAACCATCAAACTATTATCAGTGATATGTGAGCTCCAGTATTTATCGAGATCTCTTATGGGCAAGCTGTAATGCAAGTTCCATCCTTATTAGGTTTATAATGATTACTTTTAACCTATAATTTTCCTATTCAATCTTACAGTAGCTCTTCGCATTCTTCATTGCTTTGCAGATAATTTTTATATCAGTTTCGTGATTTTGGTCTCCTAACTATCCAGAGATCTTTTAGTTTTTAAAGGTGAGCGGCTAAAAAGTTATTTCATAAACATTATGCGGGAACATGTTGTGGATGGAAACTTGCTACTCATGAAGATAACACCCTCTGATTGATGAGTTTGTTTACTTTTAGAATTGCTATGGTATATTGTTTTATACTTAGACTTTCCCTTCAAAAAACGAGCACTGTGATTGGTTGATTCTTGGTCGCGTGCCCTTGATCAAATTCAAATGTCTCCCGACCGGGATACAATTTTGCAGCTGTTGCCTGCGCGCCGAATACAACAGCATGATTTTGCCAAATGATTGTTGAAGGGGAAGTCTAAATATATAACAAAGCACTTAGTGTATGGTCCCTCTGGAAACTAGTTAGTTTTGTTTTCTTGTTGGACTCTCGGGAAAACAAAACTAAATATTTCCCGCGGGACCAAACATTAAGTGTCTATTGATATTGTAAGGAGAAACTACAAGTTCATCACTTCTGAGATGATTTAAATCAAAGAAGATCCCGTACGTTATTTGATGAATCTTATGAGCAACTTAGGAAACAATCTTTCTTCCATCTCAGGTCTTTTTTCTATTTTGATGATCTCTTCTCACCAGCCGTGCGAGTAAAACCAGCTATTTGCATTTACGTTTGTTTGTCTGGGGAAGTCTCATTTCATTTTCTTATTTTTGTTTTCATTAGTCACACTATCAGGCACCAATGTAAAAGGCATGTTCTGTTTCCAAAAGGGGAATTAATTTCCGCATTTTTATTGCTTCCTCAGTTTCATTTTCCATGAATGAAATTGACTTTATCATTTTACGAAACAAAAAATTTGAAGAAGTTGGTATATAACTTACTGAACTAACGCGTATGTAGTTGAATGAAATAGAAAGATTTTCCCTCGCCTGAAAAACAAAGTATTTTGTAAGCGGTTGAAACGTTGGGTAGAATCTTTTCTCTCTGCCCAAATTTATGCGGTATTAAATCAAAAATTAGTTCTTTCAAAATAAATTGATGGATGGCTAATTATTGACGACACTTACATGTTCTAATTTCTTCATCTCAAATTAACTAAGCGAGTTTCTAAGACTGATATGCCGGCTTGATCTTTATGGGACAAACGGTTAGAAATACCAACACAAATCTTGCACAAGTATCTTCATCTAAGACTGACATGCCGGCTTGATCTTTATGGGACAAACGGTTAGAAATACCAACACAAATCTTGCACAAATATCTTCATCCGGGCTCAATTGAACAGTTTTATGCTTCGTTTAATTGTACAATGTGATTTTTTTGTTGGATTTATGTCCATCAAATTTTTCCACCACGCTACGAAACTAGATCTACGTCACGTAGGTGGATATCTCCGGATCAATTCAATATATTCATTTGCCTCGGTTCTGAATCAAATAACAAAAGAAACCAGAGCTGAGTAAGTCCCTGGTTTTTTAATGGGCAGCAAAGTGGAAATCGTGATCGTGTTTCACGCACGAATTTTTTTGGAAAAATTCCCGCGTCACGTTAAGAAAAGGAAAACCTTCGAATCTCTCTTCTTGTGTACAAGGTTTCTGGGAAATCTTGATGTTTTTACGAAATGAAAGAAGAAATTGACGGGTCACGTACATTTCAGGGGGCAAATCACGCCCCACATTGGTTCATAAATTCACGAATCACGCTCGCCTTTCTATAAAATTCACGCTTCACATATTAATTTTAGCCTCATTCTCGCGTCACTTGTACACCTTTTCACAAGAATGCAAACGTAACACGATTGGTAAATTAACCGCTGTTCTACTGGTGAAACTTTTTTGAAAGCTGTATCAAAATCTGCTCTACGATCATTGTAATTTGAAGCCAGATGATACACTTGTGACTGGTTTGAAAAAAATTAATGAAAAAGGAATGTTGCGCTCAGACATCTGTGAAAAGGAAGACAACCACAATTTCCTTTAAACAATTTATAAACTCGAACATTTATCAGTGTTACTTTTCTAAAGCTTGTTTTGTTGATTCTTTCTCACGACAACAAACAGGAGAGAGCCGTAATGAGTGACGCTGCTCAAATCCTAAAATCTGTCCAGATAGGTTTAAATGTCGTCATATTTCTTCTGAACACTGATCGAGGCCTACAAGCGACTGAGTTATGTAATGAATGTGTAATTCTACTTCAAAACCTTGACTCTGGTGGTCACCTTGATATCTCCGATGTACTATTCAATGCGTACTACGCCATCTCTGGCTACAGAGATGCAGAAAGACGTGCCATGAAACTTCTTGACACATTTAACCATGCTTGGGAACTAATCTACTATCTGGGAGTCATATATCAAGCACAAAGCCGGTTTGTAGAGGCAAAGCAACTCTTTAAAGCCGCACTCACCATCATGAAAACCATTGGTCACAAAATAAAACAAGTACCGGCTTATGTAGGACTCGTATTTGTCTGTACTAGCCTTAGAGAATATCAGAAGGCTAAAGAATATTTCGAGAAAGTACTTGCCACCGTGATAGAAATTAGCGACAGAAGGGCAGAAGGATTAATCTACGGCAAACTTGGAAGAGTGTTTCATTCCCTTAGCGAATATCAGAAGGCTAAAGAATATCACGCGAAAGCACTCGCTATCGCGATAGAAATTGGCGACAGAGGAGAAGAAGGAACAACATACAACAACCTCGGATGTGTGTTTCATTCCCTTGGCGAATTTCAGAAGGCTAAAGAATATCTTGAGAAAGCACTTCCCATCGCGATAAAAATTGGTGACAGAAAAGCAGAGGGTTCAGCATACGTGAACCTCGGAAGTGTGTTTCATTCCCTTTGCGAATATCAGAAGGCTAGAAAATATCAAGAGAAAGCAATTGCCATCGCGAAAGAAACTGGCGACAGAGAATTAGAAATGGCAGCGTACAATAACCTCGGAAGTGTGTTTCATTTCGTTAGCGATAATCAGAAGGCTAAAGAATATTACGAGAAAGCACTTGCCATCGCGATAGAAGTTGGCGACAGAAGAAGAGAAGTAACAACATATGCTTGCCTCGGAAGTGTGTTTCAATCTCTTAGCGAATATCGGAAGGCTAAAGAATACTACGAGATCGCACTTCCTGTCATGGTAGAAATTGGCGACAGAAACGGAGAAAAAGCAACATACGGTAACCTCGGAGGGGTGTCTTATTTCCTAGGCGAATATCAGAAGGCTAAAGAATATTACGAGAAATCACTTGCCATCGCGATAGAAATTGGCGACAGAAGTGGAGAAGGAACAATGTACAACCACCTCGGAGAGGTGTTTCATTCCCAGGGCGACCATCAGAAGGCTAAAGAATATCACGAGAAAGCACTTTCCATCGCGATAGAAATTGGCGACAGAAAAGAAGAAGGAAGAATATACGCGAAACTCGCATTGGTGTTTCATTCCCAAGACGACTATCAGAAGGTTAAAGAATATCACAAGAAATCACTTGCCATCTCGATGGCAATTGGCCACAGAAACGGAGAAGGAGTAGCATATAGGAATCTCGGAAGTGTGTTTGGTTTCCTTGGCGAACGTCAGAAGGCTATAGAATATGGCGAGAAAGCACTTGCCATCGCAACAGAAATTGGCGACAGAAGAGGAGAAGGTTCAGCTTACTTGAATCTTGGAAATGTTTACAGAAAGCTTGATAAAAATCGGCAAGCTAAAGAACATTTCGACAAAGCAGTCGGCGTCAGTATTGCAATTGGTGACAAAAAACTTGAAGCAATGGCGACTGTAGGTTTGGCAGATGTCTCTGCTTCTGTGAATGACATTGAGAAGGCAAAAGAACATTGTGAGAAGGCGCTTACAATCAGCAGAGAATGTGGCGGTAGAAACTACGACGCAAACTTTTACCTATACCTTGGATGTCTATTCCGAACGTTTGGTGAGTGTGGCGAGGCAGCATATTATTTACAGAAAGCTTATTCCATAAGCAGCCAAATTGGACTCAAATTGATTGAGTTTCAAAGCCTTCTCAGTATTACAATTTTAAAGATATCGCAGTCAGAGGATGTGGAGGCAATGGAATATCTTCTTCAATGTATTGGAAAATATGAACAAATCAGAACTCTTCAGAGAGGAAACAGTGGAATTGAAATTTCTCTGTTAGAGGAACACGGTACTTTTCCCTACAAGTTACTCACTAGCCTCCTTTGCGGTACTGGAAAATTTCGAGATGCTCTCTATGTTGAGGAGCTGGGACGAGCAAGAGTCCTCGCAGAATTCATGGCAGACAAGTACTCCGCTCAAAGCCACATCTCAGCTGATCCACGATCATGGTTCGGGATTGAAAACATCGCGAGAAGAGAAAGTAACTGTGTTTTTTTGTACATTTCGTATGAAGATCGGCAAGTTCTTCTCTGGGTATTGAAAGCAAATGGACACATTTTCTTTCGAAAAACAGACGAAGTGAAAATAGACACTCTTATTGCTGAACAAGTTTGCGAAGTTGAAGGAGTTTTCAAAAAGAGCGCCAAATGCTTTGGTGTTTTACCCGCAGCGAACTGCGAAGACCGATCGCTGGATGACAACGTGACGACATCTCTTCGTGAAGAGAGCCAAGCAAATTTGCGAGGTGACGAAACCAAAGATACCGGAAGAAGTCATCATTTGTGCTACGAATGGATCGTCGCGCCTGTGGCAGATTTACTTACAGAGCCCGAAATCATCATTGTACCGGATCGTTTTTCGTACCGAGTCCCATTTGCTGCCTTGCGTGATGAACCAGCCGGAAAGTATTTATCGGAGAAGTACAGAATACGCATCGTCCCTTCATTGACGACTCTCCGGCTCATTCAAGAATGTCCAGCAGACTATCACAGTCAAACTGCTGCAGTGGTTGTGGGTGATCCTACGGTTGGCAAAGTATATTACAATGGACGTCTCACTGACATTACACCATTGTTCTGTGCAAGAAAGGAAGCAGAGATGGTTGGTCAACTCCTGGGCGTTCAGCCTTTATTAGGAAGTCGCGCAACAAAGCAGGCGGTTCTTCAAGCAATACCTTTAGTGAGTCTGATACATCTTGCCGCACATGGAAATTCCGAAAGAGGAGAGATTGCCCTCTCTCCTCAACGTACTAGTAACAATACTCCACAAGAGGAAGACTACCTCCTGACAATGTCCGACATTGAAGGAGTTCAAGTGCGAGCTAAACTGGTAGTACTCAGCTGTTGTCACAGTGGACGTGGATTGGTTAAAAAGGAAGGAGTTATTGGAATCGCTCGAGCATTCTTAGCATCTGGTGCACGTTCAGTGTTGGTAGCATCGTGGGCTATAGAAGACAAAGCAACGGCGGAGCTCATGAAACATTTTTATAAACATCTTGTGCGTGGAGAAAGTGCTGGTGAATCTCTTCACCAGGCTGTTCAATGGTTGAGAAGCAATGGATTCTCCAAACCTTCCCAATGGGCTCCGTTTGTGTTGATGGGGGATAACGTGACATTTGATTTTATGAAAAAAGGGTAAGTCTGATTAGAATGAGCAATTTTCTACCATAAACCGATTAGCACACTTAACCTGTTCAGTTCACTCAGTTGTCCTAATTTTGTTGTTTGTTTTTGTCTTTGTCTTTCATCTATAAAATGCCAAGAAAAAGAAGTTAATTTTATCTAGCGCTCGGAGCCAGAATTTTTTCATAAAAGGCTTTCTAAAACTGGCTTGGAATTAGCGTTTCTTTTGTATGCAATATACTCAGAAATAACTACTCAGAGTCGATACGATACAACTCGTTATGGCGATAAAGGTAACTTGAGAAACTGAAAAAGTTAACTTTATCTGTAAAAAATGAACAAAAATAGCAATAAATTGACAATCTTAAGGTCACTTTCGTATCAAGTGTGGTATGTTCGGGAAGTTTGGATAATCATAGCGGATGGCACTGATTAAGAAAGTTATTTCTTTAATTGGAAATCTGTACTGTTTACTTTAAAGATGAAATAGCGACAAATTTATAATGTTTTTTCAGGAAAGAAGAATTCGAGGAGGACAACAACGAAGCGGAGAAGAAACAGAGTGACTACTGAGCCTACACAAAGATTCTTCTTCCTAAACATTGTCGTTCTATGGACACTGGTATTACTTTGCGAAGACATTTTTAATTGTTTATTTAGTCAAGTAGTAGATTTTGCGTGCTTTTGTAGACAGGGCTTAACTGGAAAGGCAGCGACGATGAAACCAGCAATTAAGTCGTTTGATCTATTAAGTATACTATCAATAGGGAACTACAATAAATTGGGATGGGAAAACTGAACGCAGGAAATAGGCTCAATGTATAAAAATGTGAGAATGTTAGCAAAGCTTCGTCAAAACTCAAAATTAATCCTTGATTTAAATCATTATAATTATGTTTTCAATTCTCCCTTTGGACGCAAAGAGTGATTAAGACTGTTCACAGGTGCAGGAGATGATAACATAACAAACTAATGGAAGAAGGAACAAAAAATGCCGAGATACTGAATACACAATCAAAAAGAAAAAAGAGAAGGTAATTATGTAAAAATCAGACAGAGAAGAGAAAAATGCTTGAGAATTACCGCAAAATCAAACAGTCTTGAGAACAGGGCGCTACATATTAATCTAACAGTTTAACGGAGAAGAGAACAAACAGAGTGCAATATACTAAAAGAAAAGTATTAACAAATAGAGAAGAAGAGAAACGGTGAGCGAATTATTGAGATAAAATTAGGAGAAAACATTGCGCGAGATACCAACGCCAATCAGAAGAGTGCGAACACTTTCTAAGATATAAACATGACAATCAGCCAGAATTAACCCTTTGACTCCCAAGATCTCATTAGTAATTCTCCCCACTGTCTGCCATAAAAATACTTATGATTTCAATTTAGAGAATTTGGTATTGGATCAACTTTTATTCCCCTTATTGAGTTTTCTTCTTTATTCTCCTCACCTGTCTGCTTGATTCTGTGTTGATATTGTGAGGAGAAATTCTGTCTTGGTTACTCATGGGAGTTAAAGGGTTAAGGAAAAGAACAGAGGGCTTGATTCTGATATAGGGAAAAAATTCAAATTGAAACAAACAGCTAGGTGGATATTAGCTTGGAAATCAAACAGAGACGAGAAAAGCATTGTGTAAGATTTGAACGAAATTTTAATCAGAGGAGAGAACGAGCTATGCAGAAGATTCAACTAAACAAAACTACCAAACAGAGCAATGAAAAAAAAAACAGTTCTCAATATAATCGCAACAAACAAAGTTAAAAGAAGAAACGGTGCCTGGACAAACAGTAAAATGCATGCAAGAGTTATTTTTTTCGGCTGGGTGAGTTGAGGTGTGACACTGTACAATCAGGTCGAAACGTGAGACTGAACTACAAAACTTTTTTCTTCAAATTTCAACATGTTTACTTTTTAAACGTTAATACTAAGAAAAGTCGCGGAGAGTCAAAAACAAACTTATTTTTCAGCAAAATTTCAATATATTTAGTTTGATACACTAATACTGGGAAAAGATGCTGTTATTTAATATTTCAGTGCGCCAATCGATGGCTCAGCTTTCCAGGAAGTCAACAGTACACTAGGAAAAGACGTCACGTTGTAGAAATAGAAATGGAGATAGAAATGGATCTAGTATTTCCACTCAAACCGATAAGGAAAAGAAATATTTCCAAAGGTTGATGTTTTAGTGGATCATGTTGTGCTTGGATTTCAATAGGTTGAATCAGGAATTTTAGCAAGATGGAAAGCGTCCTTGATTGTATTTGAGGTTTTGTTTCATCATAACTGAAGTTGAAATAAGGATGATAGAGAAATGCTTGATAATACACACGGATCTTTTTGCTGCGGAGCATTTTAAACACCTGGCCCCGGTTGTTCAAAGGATGGATAACTTCTTATCCGCTGGACAAACCGCTATCCAGCGGATAAATTTTACCCACGGCGTTATGTTGGTTGTTCAAAGTATGGATGGCGCTATCCACTCGCTATCCAGTGGATAAATTTATTCATCCTTCGAACATCCGGGGCCTGCTGGCACTTAGAGAGCTACACCAAAGAAAGCTGAATGAGGACTTTGACGAATATACGAGGTCCAATGGCCAAATCGCACCGTATTTTATACTGTATTTTATCCCGTATTTTATAGGCCACATAAATGAGATTCAGTAGCATATATTTTCATTGTAAAGTAATGAACCATTACTTGGAAATTAAAGCACTAAGTTAAAATACAACGCACATGTGAGAGTAAGCATATCTTCTTTATTTTCGGTTTTTATTCTGAATTCGTTGCGATTATCTATGGTGGTAAATATGTTGTGTTTCCTCTGTTGAGGAAATTTTTCTGAGTATCAAAAATGCAAACCAAACTACATGAAGCGCGCGAGAAAAAGTGGGTGATAAGTGGCGACTGTTTTCTTGTCTCACATTTGATTGGTCGAGAGGTTATGGGGAAGAAAAGAACCCACTGCTACCCGGGATTCGACACTCAAGGGAAAATTCCTCAGTCGAACGAAGCCAATGAGAACGCAAAATTGTCACATGCAATCGCCACTTTGGGCGGGAAAACGCGAGTGACCGAGTTGTGACTGGTTTTAATGCCGCATTTGATTGGTTGAGAGGTTGGCAAGAGTTTTCCGGGCCAATCACAGCGCGGGGAAAAGCAAAACCTATGCAATCATTGATTACTTTTTGAGCCTCAATCAAAGGGGCTCTAGGTGGCAGGTTTCCAACCTACCGCAATTCCCGCTCCGCTACGTCCCAGGTTCATACTGCTAACCAACTTCCAGCAATCTTGTTCAGGGACGTATTCCTCGAGAGTGTTCAAAAACCCTTCTCCATCATAACCTCCGACTACATAAAGTTTCCCGCACAAAACAGCCGCACTAAGTGCACTTCTCCTGTGTATCAGAGGCGAAACAGTTATCCATATGTCCGAGGCTGGGCTATAGCGTTCAACACTATTTAATTGTGTTTCGCCGTCATATCCACCGATGGCATACACAAAGCCATTCAACGAGGCCGCTCCTGCGCCACTACGACGCTCGACCAGCGGAGACACTAATTTCCACAGATCAGTATCCAAGTCATAACATTCAACACTGAAATGAAATTCAGAAAAACATGTCCCTTGTAAATATGAACGGGGGGGGGGTGGGGTGGGGGAAGGAAAAGGGGGGGTTGATAAAGGGGAAGAAAGTTAGTCTAGCTAATTAATTATCATCACATCAGAGGGTGGTAGAGAACTACCATCCATTTGATATCACAGCGAAGCAACGAACGAGACTTTACGATAACAGAGCTTCTAACCATTACACCTGTCAACTCACGAGAGCCTATATAAAGAGATCTTTGGAATCACAGCGAAGCCACAAACGTGACTCTCGAATAACAGAGCTTTCAACCAATACACCTGTCCACTCACGAGAGTGTATGTAAAGATGTCTTTGACTACATTTGGTTTTAATCCACCAAAAAAGGAAACACGCACGACTTCATCATTGTGCAGAAGAATTAGTTATTATACTATATTATAACGCATATATATCGACATTCCTATCTCAGTTTGTAGTATGCAGGAAGTCTATCATCAAGGACCTTGTTAAACTGCCTACCACAAATCTCCTACAGTTCATTGAGTGGTAGGGCGTATGGATTGCTGATCGCAAGGTTGTATTATCGACTCTTATTAGGAACATTACAGCATGCTAGTGTCATTCACTGGATGAAAACATCTTACACTAAAGCGAAGGCTTACTTTGCGCTTACTTCGTGAAAAACAACATCACACTCAAACAACTATTAACATTCTCTTACCTCCTGAGCCTGTGTCTTCCATCAAATCCTCCTACGGCATAAAGCTTTCTATCAAGTATAGCAACAGCTACACCTGGCGAAAAAATGCAAAAAATATAAAAAAAAAACAGCATCCGTTACAGCACTTGCAAAAGAGAATGTGCATCTCCTTGGCCAAAATTTTCAAAGTTTTTTTAGGCCATCCTAGTTCCAAACCTGATTTATCATTGTCTCTTTTGTGCTTTTGTATCTTACGAAACTAATATTTTGTAGTCATTTACAATCGTTGTGAATCTTCTTCATCCTCTGTTACCCTTTTTCCTTCTCGGTTTATTATCACCTCTTTTGTGTTTTTCTATCTTATTAAAGTAATATTTTGTGATCATTTACAATCTGTGTCAATCTTCTCCATCCTTGGCCATACTGGCTTGTACTTGGTTCATCATTCCCTCTTTTATTTATTTTTTTTCCTACATTTCTATGTACATTTTGGTATTTTTGAGACAAATTTAGTTTTTCATTGCACAAAAAGCAGCTCAAACACTTGACCCCCCAAAGGAAAGGACTGAGAGCAAGACAATTTCAATAACATGGTGACTGAATTCGATAAAAATATTGCTGAAAAGCCGTGACAACATTTTTTTAAACAGATCTCCTAGCTATATTTTATTCAAAGTTGCCAAATGACAAACTAATAACAATAAAAATGGTAATTACCAGACAAACTGTCACCAGAAAAAAGTGAAAATGAAACTCTGATAGTGTTGTATGCAAACATGTGGCCAAATTGGTGACTTTTTCTACAAATTTGAGCAACAGATTTTTTCCTCTTGCCAACTGGTTACCCAAACAGTTCTAGCTTGGAGCAGTATCTTAATGCACAACCTTGCCCAAAACCTACCTATGCGAGGAAAATTAAGTGACATAACTGTTGTCCATTCATCTTGTTTGGCATCATATTTCTCAACTGATGTGTGACATGTGTTCCCATTTCCTCCACCAATTGCATAAATACAGTCATCTACCACGGCCACGCCCAACCTGTTGCGTGGTACACTGAGGGGTGCCATAGGCTTCCACTCATCTCGCAGAGGATCATACCTGTCTACGGAAGCTGTGTCTATGTTCCCAGCTGGGGTGTTGTTATGCATGTTATCTGCAAATGGAGGATTATGCTAATGACTGAGTCAACATACAAGACTGAATTATTTAACTCTTTACACCTTAATATCAGTATGCATATTCTCCATACTGTTCTCTATACATTTCCTCCAGTACTGGTAAGGAGAATTGAACAATCAAGAGCTTCTTTAGTTGGTGATCATTTCCTTGATTCTCATGAGCTTAATGTGTGATTCAGCAGGAGATATTGTAGGGAGAACTTAGGTGTTAATCACTCTTAGGGGTCAAAGTGTTAGCTGGCAGAGCTTAGGTCTCTGTAGCTTGATGCAACCAAAGTTTACCTATCAGTTAACTATTCCACTCCTAGGAGTGATCAAGACATTTTTTCTCTTTTTATTATCAATAGAATATCAAGTTGGCAAGTGATGAGAATAGTAAAAAATATCAACTAGGGGATTATCATTTGATCCCACACCCAGTTTTCACAACAAAGTTAAAAGGCAGTGTATAGGAGACAGTAAGGAGTTATTGGGAATGAAATAGTTAATTGGAACCTGTTTCATACTCTTGGGAGGAGATAGGCATTGAGTAAGCCAGGATCTAATAAAAACTCTTTACTGATCTGGAGTTCAGCAAAATACCATTGAGCTTCATGGCAATATACTTCATCTATGTATAACAAGTTTCCTGGATTCCGCTGGAATCAGGAATGCAGGTAAAGCTGATTTATTGCCTAGCTACAATCACAGCAGCTCAGTGGTAGAGAACTGAACCATAAGATCTGTCAGTCTGAAAATTGAATCCTTGGAAGACTCAAACTTTTCTCTTTGTCCTACATGACAAATGAATAATATCTTCCTTTAATAATTGAGAATTTACAAGTAGCTTGTTACTTTCACATGACATCACAAGCTTGTTGTTTAAAAAATTATTGTGTATAAATAGAGGTTATTTATCTATCTATCTTCATTATACAATATTTACCATACCAACATAAGCTGCCCCAAGACCACTCTTGGGGAGAGAATAGTCCATTTGAGAGTCTGAGGATCAAAACACTCCAAAACATCTAGAGATCTTCTCAAGTATCCCCCTGCAAAGTACATCACAGTCAGATCTGGGGGTAGTCATTTGTGAAATGTGCTATGGGTAGAAAATTTTCCTTGTTTCCTGAAAAATAATAATAACTTCTAATTACTGTTTGCAATATTAAAAAATATAAGAGGAATAGTATGCTGAACTCAGAATATAGGACTTACCAGCTTATGACTCGTATACTTCAAAGATTTGGTCTTTTAAGGAAAATTACCCCTTGTAGAAATTCAGTACAATAAAAGAATGCTTAATTAAAGAATAATGCTTTAAAGGAAGTATACTTAAAGTATACCTTAAGTATACTTCATACATACATGTATAAATAAATATAACTGAAACACAGGCTTAATCAATCTATAGTGGTAACATTTATTGTTATCAATGTATAAACATGACTTTTGCAATACAAATGTACCCTCAGAAAAAAGCAAATCTGACTGAAAAAGAGGTTTTCACAATATTATAAAAAGAGCAACTCTTTTCTGATCAGGCAAGTTAATTGGAACTCACTGAATTTGATAAAAATGTGTTAACTGTTTAAAAATATATAATCATGCACAGCAATAATGCAGTAATGGCTAGATTTCTTCAAACTGAAATAAACTAACTGTCTTGTCTTCTTGTTTCTGGCAATTAATGTACAATATATATTAAAAAGATTAAAAATTTTCATTGATAATTCCATCACTGTATCTAAGATAGATTTTAAACAGGTGTTTTACAAGCCTTTTGTACATTTTTTATTAATCAAAAACTTGGACTGTCTGTTTTTTTTTTTGGCTTAGCTTCAAGACAGGTTATCTTGTTCCTTAATGCTATTTTGACCCCACTATCAGATGTCATGTCTGGGAACTTCTTTCTTGTGTAACCTTCAAAGAAATAAGAATAGGGAAGGCTTAGAGAAGCTAATGATATCAAGAACATAGCCAAATATGATCCCTGTGACTAATTGCTTTGGGCAACCACTTTTACAGATTAATTAAACTTTTTTTATTAACTTCATGTAAGTCACCACTTTTGTATGTTGTTAATCCCATGTCACTTTCAAGTTTCAAGTTTTGTTTATTTACAGCAAAAAGTTTAGTTGTAAGTACTTTCAGAATTAGACAGCAAGCAAAGACATTTTTGAGATGGGAATGGTGATCAGAGTTAAGGCAACTACTTTTAGTATACCTGAACCACTAATGATAACGATAAAGGCTTTAAGCATTTTAAGATAAATGCTACAAAAGAGAAAAGTTTGTAACAAGCACTACTGGAATAAAAGTAAACTTATTGTGGTTGCCATTGCCACTGCCATCTCAAAAACATCTATACTTTAGTTCTCTATACCTTTACTGCATATAGTCATATAAGCAATAAGCTATTTTAGGGACACTATTAAAGGCTTTTCATCTTTGCTGTGTTTTATAAAAGCTAGTGGACAGCTGTAAATGCTGATTGACAACAAAAGCATTATATACTGTACAGTATTATACATAAAGCAGTAAAATGCTGATCATTGATCGACATCTTACTGTTTCTGTATATGTTAATTCATGCACTTCAAAACCATGTTATTGACAACTTTTATAAATGCATCTGAATTTATTAGAAAAAAATATTCTGTCAAAATTTTAAGAATTCCCAATTCACTGCATAAAGCTGCCCTTTTGAAGACTGGCTCATGCAGTGTAAACATTTTTATTATTGTAATAAGTATAATTCAGTAAGTCATGATTATACTTACTCAAGAAGCTCTCAAGAATGTCTGTATCAACACACCATTTTCCATTCTTTCCTCCAAGACTCCTCCCTACAAGCTCATCATCTCTGTAAAAACAGCTTGGCAGAAAACAAGCTGTGGCTGTTGCTGTTTTCTTTGCATATGCCCTGGCAAGATGGCTGTCATAGATGTAAATATATCTTCCTGGTGACAGTTCAATCATCTGCAAGCATCAAAATATGTGTTCATTAATGACAGGTTGATCAATTTCCATATATATGCTCCTTCCACTGACAAGGCTGTTGCCTACGAAAAATTTTAGAGCTTCTGTTTTCAAACGTTAGCAGCCCAGTCTAGGAGTCGTTAAACACATTAGATGGGAGTGAAAACTCCAGTTAGCCGCCCATCTGGGCTATTTGAACAAAATTTTAGTCGCTTGATCTGGTAACTTAGGCGCCTCAGGCTACCAGGATACCATTTATGCAGCAGCCTAGACTGAAATACATGTATGGGAATCAATTAACACGTCCTGAGAAAAATTCACAGAAATTGCATTAAATATTATTAATATTAATACTTGAACCCAGAAATACAAAAAAGTAATTATATCTATATATAGTGAGCACACTATGTGAGGTGAGTCCCTGTGGTGTTTGATTGTACATGTACTGTTCAAATAGTCTCTCTAAACATGCATGATTTAGGTCATGACATTGACCAGTCTTTGGTGCTGAACAGCTTCTTTGTTTGATTAGAAACAAATTTTTAGCACAGGTAATTTTCTAGGTATATTTGAATGAGAAGAATGATTTTGGTGTAAGTGTATTAACCAGTAGTTTTGTGATGTCACATTATTCTAATGTTTAAGTTTATTTTACAGTGCATTAGCACAAGGGAGTCTGCAAACTCAGATTAAGGAATCGTTTACATAACTTATGGAAAAAGATCACTCCATAAGCTTATTTAGCCATTGAAATGCAACAAACTTTGGGGCTTATTCTGACAACGAATGCATCTTCACGTGTGAAATGAACTTGGAACTTTGTACAAATAAAAAACAATTTCACTTACTTCTTTCACCATAATTGAATGATGGTGTTGTTTTCCTTCTATTGTCTTTCTTTATGTTCCTCATTGTGTCTAAAGACAGAGGCAAGATCTAAATAGAAAAGGCAAAATACCAACGCAATTTCACGAGTCACCGATCGAGAGACAAAGTTCGTTTCGCCCGCCAAATCTAAATTATAAGATCCCGTATATAAGCCGACTGTACTAGATGTCAGCGGAGCGTACCAAAAAAAATGGCGGACTGTAGTGAGGATTCTTCTTCTGGAAAAAGGCTAAGGAGGTGAAACTTGCGTGGACCTTACAACCAGTATCTTTCTCAGCCGGTACTAAAGATACCTCAGACAATCATGTGGCGTTGGCCGCAGAACTTTCCGACGTCCACTGCTTGCCCTTGGACGACCTCAATGCGGAGTCAATAAGTAATAATGACGCTTCGCGTAAACCACTTGATTTGTGATACCCTGCTGTATAATGGTTACTCTCTATATTGCAATGCGGGAAATCCAGGGGTGGAGTACGAAAATTCAGCGTGCATGCATCCCCTTTCTTAAGTTTTTGTTTCATAGTTTATCACACCAGTTAATATTTTAAAAAAACCTAAAATAGTGTAATTTTGCAAGAAATACAGTTCTTGTTGCTTCTCGACAATTGTGTTCTACTGACTTCTTTTTTGGGATAGTTTTTGAACATGTATTAAATTTAGTGCCTTAAGTGTTTCAGTTTTTAAGGATCTGTGTAGAGAGTTCAAGATTGTAGACTTGCAGGCCAGATTGTCAGTAATTACATTTTAAAGGTATACTTAAAGTATACTTTATTTTCTATGGCAACCTTTTTGCAAATTCCAAGGTTTAGAAAAGTATAGTTGAAGTATACTTTTCCAATTCAAGTACAAATAAAGTACATTTACCACAATTTTCTTAATATACTTCATTTATACTTTTTTTTGTTGAAGTCTAAATTAAGTATGCTTCGTTTCTGCGAAGTACAGAAAAAGCATACTTGAAGTATACTTAAAGTATATATAAATCGTATTCGAAACTCCGTTAAACTTGTTTATTTAGTAGGAATCACTCATACATCAATTTGCTCGATGGAAAAACATTGAAACTCTTAAAACAAAATCAAGATATTATTACAAAAAAAACGCACGTGATCAAACCGGTTAAACAAGAATATGTGGAACAAAACGCAATGTCGCAAAACGCTGATTAAGTTAGTTATAAAACAGTGTGAACGATTTCTACAAAGCATACTGAAATTGTACAAGGGGCCCCACCCTTCATTGGAGTAGTTTGGGGACAAACCTATACTGTACCTTTACAGAGAGAGGTAATTGGCCTGTCAAGATACATACAAAACACAGACAAAATATAGAAATTTTGAAAGGTCCCAAGAGCTCTCATTAAAGGTCCAACTAAAATGCTAAATTAATTTCAGCACATTACATCTCAAGAGTCATATTTGCAGTCACATTTTATCAGAAATTTTTTTCAGATCCAAGTAATGTTTTTCCGTGAACCAATGTCATGGCTGTAATTTCTAGGCAAAAGCACTTTTACTCAATAACGTATATCCGTCATGAAAGTTTTAGTGATTAGCCAAATGGAAACTATGATAATACTGGCGAAGATCTCTCACAACAATCTGTTTAGCTTGCAAGCAAGCTGTCATGTTTGGGTTTTGCCTTATAGCCCTTTTTTCAGAGAGAGCTGCCTTAATGACACCATTGTCAGCAGTTTATGGAAAAAGTTATTAGAACTCCTGTATATTATGGTGTAATCCTTCCAAAAGGGTGTGGTTTTTGAGCTGTTTTGGTCTGAAATCTGGTATAGATGCTTGTGGTATGGGTATTGGACAAGTCCATTATAATGTGAGAGATATCTATATATAGTTATCACAACTCAGCCAAGAATCCAGAAAAGTCATTCCTGGAGGTTAAGTAAATAGGGAGATCATACTTTAAAATACTCACTGCAAGGGCCTCAATCAATGTTTCTTTAAACTCAGATCTCATGTCCTGTTCATAACATTGGATGATTGAGTTAAGGTAAGTATTTGAAACAAAAGGCACCCGTATATGTTTCAGTAGATCCTTCAATTCCTGTGTTCTGTCCTTCAGATCATGAGTTACCCATCGTAACAAGGCTGCAAGAACCTAATAGATGATCAAAATAATTTCAGAATTTGATATGAATCATATTTGAAGTCAATTGATACTTAATTTATTTGTCTCTCTAAAATTTACTTAACTCTTTCACCCCTTACAGTGACTAACATCTAATTTCTCCTTACAATATCACCCCTCAGTCACATGGATTAGGGGAAATGACTATCAAAAAAACAAGATCTACGCAACAAGATCTATAAATGCCTAGTCCACTAAAAAATATTTTGACTCGATCGTCGGGTTTAAATCAGTATTTTTTCAGGGAAGGTTTCACATATTTCCGCATTCTCCACTCAATATCGACTCATAAATGTCCTCGTTTGTTTGGCCGTTTATAGATAGAAGATTAGAGCAAAACGACAGCCGTCATGAGTCGGGTTGTCAGTTAATTAAGGCTATGAATTACTGCTCGACCAAAACAGCAACGGCATAAATCGCCCTTCATTCTCTCTTGTCAACAAAACATTAGGTGCTTTGGCAGAAATAACCCTGGCTATTTTTAAATGTAGCCATTATCTAGATGTGGATGATAACAGGGCTGTGCAAAGACACCAATTCCTTTCTAATTTACCCTCTGACGCACATGCAAGATCGGATAAACTGGCGAGCTAAACGAAAGCGCTTGGACCTCCGACCAGAGACGAATAAATGATTTTGAAGTTTCTGAAGAGGACAAGCTGAGAAACTATGGTGCTATGTAGGTAGGGATTTTTTTCAGATAATTTTGTGTTATCACCCGAGGGAGTTGATGAAGTAAATTGGCTGTCAAAGCGAAGCTAAGGTCTAACGCTCGAAAAGTCAGCTTTAGAATCTCTTTACAGTGGCCTGGTAACATTATCAACTCAGTTGATAAAACCAAATCATCGATCAGAGACGGATAGAAGCGAGATCTCTATAACTTTCTGCACTGCATTAATTGAACTAAACTGTAACGGGAAGAAAAATAATGATCCGTCCTGTTTGAGAGATTTACTACTTTTTTTTCTTGTATTTATGGCTAATTTTAAAATATTTCGAGACCATTACGTGAGAACAAGTTCAAAATTAATATTACCCTCGGAGAGAAGCCTATCGCTCAGTACTTCATTATTATATTTCGTAGTTATACAAACAAAAACCTGTCAAGCCCAAGCACATGTGGCGAGGATCAACTTGGCGATAACTTCACCAAAGAAGAAAAAACAACTTCAGCAAGAAGAAGAAAAAAGAAGAGGGCAAGATTTATAAGAAACAAAGTAACGCCGGGTGAAGACAAATATTACTGTGAGTATGCCCTCATTAAAAGCGTCGAGGGAAGCGTGTTTTCCCGCCCGCGGGAAGATTTGACCCGAGTCAGGGAGAGATTTGCCGGGAATCTGGGCTCCTCATCAGTGCCAAGCCCTTTGCAGACTTCTCACAGGATCGCAGTGCTCAAGACCAAAATGTTATATTGCTTAGATCTATTCGACTGTGATCAAGCGTTCTTTTTTATCAGAGGGAGAGTAATATTGATACATGCGCTGTTGGACTATCCCATACCCCCGAGAAAGAAATGACGCGTTATATTAGGTGAAATTATTTTTATCTCACCCAAAGGATGAAGGTAACTGAGCACTTCGCTAGAACAATTTGAAACACTCAGTAATGCGATTACTCAAAGCGCCACAGTATCGACTGTCAAGCTCGCAGCAAAAAAATCCGTTATATTAACAAGCAAAATGCACATTATCATTACATCATCATTATCATGATCATTTTTAATTTCAGTTGAGATGTCAAAACCTCACATGCCATCGAAGATGCCCTCCATGTTGCTAAAATTTCTAATTCAACCAAAGTGAAAAGTAAATGCAGTTTGATGCATTCGAGCGAATCACCCAACAGCAGCACCGGAAACTCAGAAGTGACTTTGCTTCATTCTACAACATTCATTGACCACCAACAAATAAAAACCTTCAATAAAACGTTTTCTTAAGTGAAGCATTTGAACGCAATTTTGGCCTAGAAAGTCGGGAATATGTACGAACCAATCTTCCAAAGTTCAAATGCGCGGGGGGTGGGGGTGGGGGAATGCTGAAGCCTCGAATTGATCTACACATAAGTAAAACTATCGAGATGTACGGAACGTGACTCTTACACTAAAGGTTTTTTTTTTTGCTAGGTGACAAACGTCAAATCGGGCAAAGATTCAGAGAATAGGTTTGTAATCTGCCTTTTGCGGTCCATTTTCTTTGTTGTCTGAATAATTGTAAGCAAAAATAAATTGAATTAGTGCAACGCTCACTGCTGTCTCCTTCGGATACATTGTTTAGTCTCGTCACGCAACGTGCTTTTCCTCCCGTTGCGTGACGAGAGCGAACAAAAGCTGCGAGACCTCATTATCGGCATTTGGTCACGATCGCTTCTTCGCCTGCGCGAACGTACGAGGTCTTTAGAAACACAAGCCAGCAAGAGGTCTGTCTGGGCTCTTGTACTAATAATTAGTGCCAGATTTCCCGCAAACCTCTCCCCGATTTGTCTTACAATGCATACTTAATATCGGCCCCTCAGGGGTGGGCTGAGATTCACCACATGTTTATAACCTTATAATAGACACATGCTGCTGATTCTAATTCTAAATTTGGCTGTTTCACCTTACAAAGCAATAAAGCGTTCAAAGTGAGAGTCGAGGTAAGTACGATATTTAATTGGTAAAGTACTGATGTGTTAATGCTCAGGATAGAACAACACAAATACACAAGGAAATTTTCAGAGTAACTTTATAACCATCCTTTTGTCTTATAAAAGCTTGAAGCTCAGTAGATTTTGTCATATCGGTCATTGTTAAAACTGTCTTTGTTTCGATGCTACTTTTCGACATAGAAAAGTATGTCGGATAAAAATATTCACCAAAAAATAAATATTTCTTTTCCAGCTTCAATAATGACAGGGGATTAAGTTTAGATGATAAAACAAAGGACTATGTTCACAGAAATACCGTAGGTCTAGTACATTCGTTACACGAGGTCAC